TGAGGTTTATGTATGTGCTTTCATTCTTGTACAGTTGTATATATATTTGCACAGGCAGTACAGTCCAAAAAGCTCTGTTCATGACATGCTGCACTCGGACAAGGGGCAAAAAAGAACCTAATACTCAATAAGCCTTAAAATAAGACAGATTTTTCATATTCTTAACATCACAGCCTTTCCTGTGCCTAAATGGGCAGTGAATAAGAATGGGAAAAAAATGGATCTTTTGTGTGGCACTGTACGGATGAGAAGCATTATTTCCTTGATCGAATGCACAGCAGTCTGCCATTTCCATAAGAAAATTAGTTCTTATTCTACAACATAATCACACTTGTCCAAGAGAAGCATCAAGCATATCTAGCCTTCTAGGTACTCAGCTTGGAAACCCAGTATGGGTTATTGTCACGCTAGCCATGGCCTACCCCATCGTAACCTAGGTCGTGACAGTTATGTACTAGAATAGAACACAGCAACTGTAGCAATCAAAGTATAGAATACTGAGCCAGTAAAGACAATACAATTTAGAAATTTACTGCAGAGTTACCTTTGATTTCAGGGCTTCAAGTTTCTTGAAGAAGTATGTATTAAAAATGTGATACTTGCCTCTTTGTGTGCTAATCGATGACATTGGCCCTTGCAGGTACCTACAAGATGTATAGTTATGACTTCAACTGTTACGAGAAAGGAAATGAATGAGGAATCTAGAAACTAAAGAACGATACTTACATAATGTAGAAGTTCATTATAGTTGAGGAAAGTAACGATTCAGGCTCAAGGCATTTTGTATCATCATGAGAAAGCTCAATAGAATTTGAGTGTTCGCTGCCGGCAAGGCAAAAAGAAAATAATCATCAACTATGCACAAAAACATTAAGCTCGGTGGGTTTAAAAAAATTCAAATGCTAACCTTGAAGGATAATATATCTTCATTGCATCCCTAATGAAGTATCAGAATTAAGTTAATAATCTCAAAAACTTTAAACATACATAATATTATTATATTTCATATGCGAGTCACAGGTTGACCACACAAATTGTGCTGTCCCCAATATCGGAGCACACATGGGAAATTGACAAATTGTTACCATTTAGTGGTTGGCTTCTCTGCAGATTCCGAATGGTGTGCATCTGCATCGAGTAGAACCACCTCTTGAGCCTGAACCGGTGCAAAAATCAGACCAAACTAGTCAGAAGAGTTACCTCATCATGGTTGCAAGCAAATCATAACTTGCTTAGCTTACTCTTTCTAGAAGCTGACACGGACAGATATTTACTAATGGTTAGCTGGTTACAGTATGATTCACTAAGAAAATAATCAATAACCCCAAAAAGAGAAGTAAAAGCACTTAAATTGTACTCCCTCCGTTCCAAATTACTTGTCGTGGTTTTAGTTCAATTTGAACTAAAACCACGACGAGTAATTTGGAACGGAGGGAGTATTAGGTTGTTGTGATCACTACTGCCAAAAAGAAAGTTGTTGTAATTGCAGGATAGCAGACCTAACATCTAACTGAAGACCTATCCTAATCCTTTGCTAGTACTGAAAACAGTCAGTCTTTCTTTCTTTTTTCTGGCACTCCCCCAAAAAATTATGATCCTCTCATTAACAACTGCCACACACATCATGGTTCAAAATTATGACTTCCTAGTTCCTCCTAGTTACTACGCATACCAGATACTACCATCACTCCAGAAGTTTTTTTTTTATTAGGCATGGCCCTATGACACACAGCTTTCCCTGCGTCTTGTCAGCAATAGTAGGAGACAATAGCTCACATGCTAGGATCGGTATCTAATTCATCTAGTTTCTTCTTGCAGCTCCCTTTTTTCATTTTTCTTTCAGAGGGCCGCAAGAAAGCTACCAGGTTAATTTTCAGAGATGATTTCTCTCCATATTTTTATTTATTTTCTTTGATAAAGGTGATCTGTGCCTGTAGATCAGTATTTTTTTTTCTACTGGCGGCATCAAATGGAGATGGCCGCCGTCTGGTGACGGTTTTCTTCATCTAATCCCCTCGGCTTAATCTTGTGCCATGGTCCATGCCTGTTGTCCCAACATTTACATGTAGACATTGCACACTGTACTGCCTCTAGAACCTTCGGAAAAATTCATGAATGTACGAGATGAGTGTAGTACACCATCTGCAATCGTGCAACAAAATCCAGCTTACGCTTAGAGCAACTCCAACGCGGCGACCCATTTCGTCCGCGCGTGTCCGTTTGGGTCGAAACGGACACAAAAGTCGGCCCAACGCGCCGACCCAAACGGACGCGCGTCCGCTTTTTGTCCGCCACGCGACCTCATTTGCATCGGCACGGGCATGAAACGGATGGGCGCGACGCCCGCCTACTCCTTTCCCGGCCCGCCAATGGTGACAAATTGAACATTACATCTTCCTCCCATCAACAGCCAGCACACCCGGCCGCCCCACCCGTCGCTGCCGCCGCCCAGTTCCAGTGCCCAGGCCAGCTGTCCGCACCCACATACCTGCCCCGCAGCACGCCACCTTCCAACGTCGCCGCCGCAACTGCCTCGCCCCACCGCCGCCGCAACCGCCTCGCCCCACCGCCGCCGCAACCGCCTCGCCCCACCGCCGCCGCAGCATCCCCGACGTCGCTGCCAGCACCACCTCGCATTGTTTTCAAGGCGTCGGCCTTGCCTTACCTGTGTGTCTAAGGCGTCCGCCATAGTCCATAAGGCGTCCAAGGCGTCCGCCTAGGCGCCACTCTGCCTGCCTTAGGCAAATGAGGATGCCTTAGACAGGGCTGGGAGGTTCAGGCGGGAAACAGAGATCTGGGAGGGAAGAAAAGGGCGGGAGCCAACAGTTACTAGCAGGGAGAGAGAGAGAGCTGTAACCAGTTTCAGTTTCCCCCCACCCCCACCTCAGGCTGGATCTGAGCTTCTCCCCTCCTCTACAGCAGCTTCCCCCCTCCTCTCCGGCAGATCCCCATCCCCCTCCTCTCCTGCAGTTCCTCCTCCCCCTCCTCTCCTGCAGTTCTCCCTCCTCCAGGACAGCAAGCAAGCAGCACCTCTCCAAGACAGCAGGCAGCAGCAAGCTGTGTATGGCTGTATGCCTAGTTGCCTAATGCCTACCAAATTCTACTTAATTCTGTTGCATAGAACTCTCTAAGGCGTCGCCTCGCCTTATGCCTTAGCGCGTAGGCAGTGAGGCGCCCCCCCAGCGCCTCGCCTCGCCTTACCGCCTTAAAAACAATGCCACCTTGCCCCACGCCCGGCCCTGCCTGAAGCGGGGATTTCCGGGGATGCTTGGTAGCATAGATTGTATGCACTTGGAGTGGAAGAACTGCTCTTCTGCTTGGCAGGGGCAGTATAGGGGCCATGTTAAAGCTTGCACCATCATATTCGAGGCCGTGGCTTCACAAGATCTCTGGATTTGGCACTCTTTCTTCGGCATGGCCGGATCTCACAACGATATCAACATGCTTCAACGCTCTCTGGTGTTTGCAAGGCTTGCAGAAGGCAACAGCCCGGAGGTCAATGCTCAGATCAATGGCCACAACTACAATAAAGGATACTACCTAGCTGACGCCTGAGCGGTATATATCCTCAGTGGACTACTCTTGTGAAGACAATCCCCAACCCTATAGGAGAGAAGAGGAAGAGAGTGCTAGGAATGATGTCGAGCGTGCCTTTGGTGTTCTGCAATCTCAATGCGGCATCATTTGGTAGCCTGCTAGAACATGGAGCACCAAAAAGTTGTGGGAGGTGATGACTACTTGTGTGATCATGCACAATATGATCGTAGAGGATGAGCGCCCGGAACGTATCTATGACCAAGGGTTTCAATTTCAGGATGACAATGTTGTGCCTGAGCATGGAGGAGCGGCAACGTTTGCACGGTTCACCGAATTTCATCATCAAATGCGTGATTGGGAAACTCACATTCAGCTGCAAGATGATTTGGTTGACCATATCTGGGCTCACGTTGGCAACCAATAGATGTATCCACTATCTTTTTTTTAATGTATTTGAGACGGTTAATTTTTTATTTGGTTGAGATATTCATATTTTATTTGAATTATGTAAACTAGGGTCAAATTTCCATATGTTTGCAAAAAAACACGGCAGCACGAGGACGAAAATGCATCCACGTGTTGGGCGCACGGCCGACCCAAACGCAGAAGGGGCGGACGACAAGCGAGCAGCCGACCCAAGCGGACAAAAAGCGGGGATAAAACGCGCGTCCGTTTGGGTCGGCGCGTTGGAATTGCTCTTAGAACTGCATACTGCAACTCTCTCACCAATTCGCTTTGTCCTTGGAAAATTGAACTTCTTTCGAAAAGATTATAGATGTAGTACAGTGCACCAAGTAATTATCTTATTTTAATCTTACAAGCTAACTATGTACAGGCGCAATCTGGTAAAATACATTCAGATGTCAGGTCTTCCCACTCCTATCCTATATTTGCTCCCGAATTAAATGTCACAAAGTGGCCATGGACATCTTCTCTTTTTTGTCTTTATACTTTTTTGTTCATCTTAAGAATTAAGATCCTGAGTGGCTACTTGAGCATGTGTTTGCATTATCGTGCTTTAACCTGTATTGTGTCTGTCCTTTCCACTACATATGATCTCTAGAGAATCAGAAGTAATAATTTCGCAAACCCCATTACGGTTTCAATAACTGAAGATGTATAGCCTCAAACAAATTTTATTTTTATGAAGTGGTGCATCACGACCAGAGAAACTGTGGCCCAGATCCAGACAAACCACAAAGCTTGTAATTATGACCCGATACATTTGCCACCCTACAACTACAGTTGAATTCTCTACCAAAAATTTTTAAGTGTGCACCGCGTTAATGGAGGTGTCACTCATTTGGATTAAGTAGCATAAACTTTGAAAAAAAAATCTCCATCGGCACTTACGCACCTGAACGTCACCCAGGAACGGAGACTAAGCAAGTTGCAACGAAAAACTGGATAATATGACAACACAACGCCTATACTGAGCCACATGGTACAGAAGAAAAATGTGGCAGAACTGATGAAGGCAGCCATTTGACACCACTATGCAACACTAAGATTCAAACCGGTGAACATATTTTTGATAACGACATGGAAGGAAATTAGCACTATGCGGTGTTTACATAGGTAGCACACAGCAGTCAATTTTGTCCTATGTTTACGTAATTTTGTGCGCAAGTATGACTACGTAATTTTTTACTGGTCAAACTACTACCTCCATTCACAAATAAATATTGCTTTAGAAACCATTGCCAAAAGTACATACATTGTCCAGAAATAGTATAGAATCGTCACAGAAAGATACTTCCATACACTTGAGTACTATGATTGGACAGCCAAAGCTGTATCGCGAAGACCATGACAATGTATTTGGGAATGGGGGAAGTATATAAACTAATGGTCATGCCGACAGTTTGACCAGCATGCTCTTGGAACTGACATTGCATATTTGCATTGGACTAGAGGATAATATGCAGCTGAACCTCAACAACATGGTTGTCGGTTTAAAGTGCTTAATACAACGAGACTCAACCCCATCACAACAATAGAAAGGTCACATGTTGATGTTATGCTACTTATAAATGTCTGTAGAGGGCCACAGGTTGAAGGTCCAATGTTGGCCCATGAGAAAAAAGGTGACGCTATCATTACACTCAATGATTTTCTTCAAAATTAAGTTCTAGTAATATTTCCGTATTATTAACCAGTATGAGAGTCATTTTAAAACAAAACCCCTTTTCTAGTATCTACTGCCAAAATCATGAACAGCTGGGGCTCTGTCAATCATAATAATACTTCAATAATAATCATCATAAAAGAGCACACTGGCGGCCATGATGGTAGAAGTCATAAAAAAGGACAGACCCAGTGCATAGAAGCTCCCACACAAGGTGGGGTCTGGGGAGGGATTATAGGAACCTAGTCTTACCCCTGCAAAGTGCAATGCAGAGAGGCTGGTTCGAACCCAGGACCTCTTGGCACAAGTGGGGAGGACTTCACCACTGCGCCAGGCCAAAAGTATTTACAAACCTTTCTTGGTCTCAATCGCATTGAGAAGTTTACTGAGTCATCTCCTTTCCTGGAAGAGGTAGGTTGCATGATTCAGTACAATGAAAATTTCACATAATAGATAATAAAAATTAGCACAACCATGCATGCATGAGATGTGGTATATATACAGCATTCTACCAATTGATCAGCAAGGTACAATTGGACAAGGACAGGGGTATGATCACAGTCAGATATGTTACACAACAGGTTAAGTAACTGGGGAATGCATAGGGACGTGACTGATGAATACTGGAAATATCCTTGCAGAAGTTAAATCAGATTATTTGAAGAATCGCATGTTCTCTTGTTAATTTGCTGTGTGTCCCTTTTCATTACATGTCAGTTTGACCTTGTACTTTTGAGTAATATATGTATTGTATTTGAATTTGATAATGATGGACAAAACAACATTCAAACAATGAATTGATTGATTAGAAAACAATAACAAAGTTGAGCACAAGAGAGCAATAATCTGCCTTCCTTGAACCAATAGCATGACCACTTAAGCACACACTACCTAGCTTTCCATGGGCAGGTGTATTGTAAGTCAAACATTAAATAAGTTTGACTCCTCTGTACTCCTAAAAACTACACCGAGAGCCCTTGTAGTTCAAATCATAAATTTTGTATTTCCTGGTAGAGGTATCTTCAAGTCGGTGTGTTTGGTATTTACTAAAAGTAGTAAGTTACCTAACAGAACCTTTTACATCTACCATGGAAGCTATCACTGTACCGTATGAAGAATAAGAATTTTGATAGGTTTATGCACCATGTGCAGCAAGCCATGTCTATTTAAAGTTAGTTAACAACATATCATTACCAATTAAAACAAATGGACTGCAGGTTAACACAATGAAACAGAAGAGCGTATACATACTAACCTTTTCCGAGGTGTGGAAGCATTTTCACGTATCCTAATATCGCCATTATCCTTGCAGTCATCGTCAGAAGACATATTTTCCACGTCGATTGAGTTGTCGATACATAATACTTTGGGAGGCGTTGGTTGTGCATTGGTTTTGCAAGATTCACTCACTTCATACGACTTCCCTTTATTTTTTACTGGCGTTTTAGTCTTGCCAGGGCATACACTTGTTATCTCCACATCGATGCCTGCCTAACGTACAGAAAATTCAACACTTGCACAAAATACACAGATTTAAGTGCCATAGGACAGGCCCCGTGCTAGGAGCTCCCACACCAGGTGAGGTGTGGGGAAGGATTATACGAGGCAAGCCTAACCCATGGAACTCATTAATTACCATGCAACACATTAATTACCTCATCATCCACCTCAAATGCGGAAAGGAAATCAGATTTGGTTACTCCATGATTTTCATTGCATTTACTAGACAAACCTACAAGTCGTAAAGAAAATTAAAATTTTGAATAGCAAATTAATTAATAACGAGTATAACAGAAATTTATGTTGGAAAAATGGTCAACATGTTATGAGTTTATTAGGAAATGTGATACGACGACTAGTCAGACCTTCTGGTGTTCAATCTTTTAATCGAGTCGGACAGTGGCTTGCCTAATTATACATAGTGAAACCAATATAAAGTCTGAGTAAATTCAAAAGGCATTCATTTCGGTTTTTGATATAGCTGCGGGCACAACACAATTTGACAATAGTAGCTCCAGCTTTGGGTACATTTTCTTTACCCAAAGTATTTATTGATTTCATCAATTTCAATAGCAAATACAAAATTGCATGGCACTGAAGTGACTAACGTAGATCATTATTCATGTGCATTTGATCAATATGGCAAATGGTTTAGGTTGTACTAGATGGTTTATTAAGTACAGCACGGAACTGGCAATTTTCTTAAAAGGACAAAAGAGAAAGACCCAAAAGACGTTATACCAACATGGTAAAATAACATTGCAGCACTGCAGTAAGCAATAATATTAGATGGAGCATCTAAAAAAGATAAGCAGGCAGGGATTTTAGGTCCACAATATCTAGTTATTCAGAATTATTACCCAACTACAAAAATTGATGTGATGAAAACAAGTATTCCAAAAATGGATTTTCCATGAGATGGTAGTGTGCAGAAAGTTTCAAATATGATACATTGTCAAAACAGTAAATCAATCACATACCAGACGGTTCTGCATAACTTGACTGGATCATCCGTTCGCCTCTATTGCCATCCTGCAAGGGAGCATTCCATGATTAGGCTTAGAGTGCTATACAGCTCAGAACGCTTACTGTACATATTCACAACCATAGCAAGGTGGCGACGGCCAATCGACCACGCAAAGGTCCATCCAACGACTCCAGTGGTCACTGGCAAGCCAGCAACCACCATAGCCGAAGAAGAATATCACTTCTATACTTGTGGAGATTTTATTTGGTTGGCATATCACAAAAACCAACTTTCAAATGCATTAAAATTAAAAATATGGATTAAATAGAAAAGAACACAAATACACCGCCCTATGGTTAGCCCACTTTACATATCACATGAGGCAATTCTTGTTAATTTTTTACAGATTCTCCTTAATCAGACACAGGCCATGATTCGCTGATTGACTCAAAGGAAAGTTTAAACATATCGAAAGAAAGATGGAAAGCTGCTGCTATTTTGTCACCAAAGTAACAGATTAAAAGATTAACGCTGTCTGTGGTAAAAAGCAAGAGAAAACGGATGGTAGGAGAGGTTTTAATTTCGATTTCAGGTAGAAAATACAGGAATATCATTGTCCACAGAGATGAAAAAAACCTTTCTGTTTTCAATAACTACCGCCATACACAAGCAAGATGATAACATGGAATTCTACCACTGGTGAACACAGCAGCATACCGCCGCTTCAGCATGCGGAGCAGGTGCACAAATTCGTGTATCTCCAATCTTTTCCATGTCGTTGCCCGCTCCGTTTTCCCGCGCAAAATCACTTGGGAGGTGGACGGCTGATGGGGTTTACTCCTCTCGCTCAGCATATAGGGTGAAGTTCGAAGGGTCCTTCAACTCCCATCAACCACGATGCGGTTTGGAGGGCTGACGCAAAAGTCAAAACATAAGTGCAGATTTATCACTTGGCTTCCCTTCCAGAAGCAAATCTTCACCTCTGATCAGCTGTTTACTTAAGGTTGGTCACCTTATGCGGCTCTCAATGAGTCATGGTGATATGCTTTGGCCATTAGGTGCCCTCTCTATTGGACTTTCCGCTAGAGATCAGACTTGCTCGCGCCAGAGCCGCGGAACCACCACATTCAGGATTGGTGGGACAAGGCCCATGCATATGTTACTGAGAAGGAGCAAATAGCTTTAGATGGAATCAAACTTTCACCCTTTGAAACATTTGGAAGGAAAGGAATGCTCGAAGTTTTTAACTCTGCTTATGGCTCGATGCAAGTTGTTTCCTATGCCAAGTAGGAAGATACTACGACCTGGTGCTTTGCCATGGCAGGGTGGCCCTTTGGTGACCATGGCTAGTAGGTTTTGGCTGTGCTTTTTCTCCTGCTTACAGAATTTGGCAGTGCCCCTACCGTTCCATAGAAAAAAGCACAAATGCATATGGCTTGCAGGCATTTTATGGAACGGAAGTTTGAGAACCCTAAGGCTTTACCTGCCTCTCCAATCTACCCCAAGGCAGACCCATCCCAAATCCCAAATTCGGAGGAACCAAGGCAAAGATCAAAAAATTAATCCACGCTGCCGCACACCAAGATAATAAATACAGAACTGGAAGATAGTTTTACCGGCTCGCCTAGGCGGCCTTGCGGACGCGGTGGCCGCGGCCGTGGCCGGAGAGAGGCCGAGTCCGAGGCCAAGCGAGTGCGGCGGTCGAGCTCGCCGCGGACGGCGCGGAGCGAGCGGCAGTACTTCTTCCCACCGTCCGGGAGGATGCCGGGGAATTTGTTGAGGCCGTCCTGTAGGCGTTTGAACCTCTCCTTCAGCGCCTGGTCCGACATGCCGCGAAGCTCGTCACCGATCCTCACCCCCGCATCCTCGTCCCCCTCCTCGCCGCTGGGGAGCGGCTCCGACGAAGCCGTGGCCATCGCATTCACCGCGGCGCGGCGCGGCTCGCCGAGGGGACGGGGTCGAGGGGAAGTTGGGGTTGGGGAAGAGAAAGAGGAGGCGGCGGAGGAGAAGTCGACGATGGTGACAGCTGGGGCCTCTGGCATATCAGAGGAGGGTCTTCTCGCAAAAATAAACGGAGGAGGGTATCGGAGCATATAGCATATATGCCCTCCGTTCCTAAATATTTGTTGAAATCTCTAGAAAGATAAATATTTAGGAACGGAGGGAGTATATCCCAATAATGGCTTTTTGATGCGCTGGAATGTAAAAACGCCGAATAGAAACATTATAAGGTATTTTAAATATTTTAATATGGACTACATATATGAACTCAAATAAGTGAACAAATCGAGAAAGAAGAAACGAAGCACCCGTCGAGCACTCACAGAGTTTAGCAACTTCTGGCCGTCCGATCATTTTCGTGATGCGTTCTTGGCTGTCGGATCGAGCTCCCGGACGATCTGGGCCACCGGATCAAAACTGAGCCCCCTCAGCAGTGAACAGTTTCACCTCGGTCGTGCCACCGCCTGTAATTTCGCTACCCCGCCGAGGGCATTTTGGTCGTTTCGCGTACTAGGGTATAAAAAGAGTGTTGCTGCCGTGGGATGACCTAGCCGCCTCCTCCCTCCCACACTCGCGCCTCCCCCGTGCCTCTCTCCCTCCAAACCCTAACCCACGCCGGCCTCCCTGCCCCGCCGCGTCATCTCCTTCGCCTCCCGGAGCTCGGCCCGAGATTGGTGGCGTGTGGTTCCTGGCGGTCTTCCTCCCGCTGCTCTGGGTGGCGCACCGCCTCCGTCGCCGGCAGGAGGGGCCGTGGTGGACGCTGGACAGCCCGACTACCAGGAGCTCGCGTCGCCCAGCTCGTGGGTCACCTCCCTCCTCCTCCCCATCGGGATTGGGCAGGAGGATGAGCGTCAGCGTGTCGCCGCTGTCGCTGGTGCTCGCCCCGGCCCCCATCCTCGACCTCACGCCGCCATCATCTCCTTCCCGCCCCCTTGGCACTCGGTAGGAGGAGCACAGGAAGCTCGTGAGGCCGAGCAGGAGGATGAGCGCCCTCCCTCGCGTCCGCCTCAGTGGCTGCCGCTGTCACTGCCGACGAGAACGTCTACTGCCCTGGGGCTTGCCACTGTCTGTTGCTCACCTCTGATTTTTTGTCTTTCTTTTCTTGCAGATTCGTCCATTGTCACTGGTGCCTCCTTCCCTTTTGCGTCTCCATTCATGGATCAGTGGTTCAACCCTTCTCCTCCTTATTTTCACTCTTCTTCTGTTCTAGGGTCGGATATATACATGTATGGCCATGTGCTTTTTGTATTCTTATGCTATGGGCCAAAACAATTTGTGCTTGTGTTTGAGTGGGGTGTGGACATTATGCCTTTTATTTTTGGGTTGGACATTGGTAGGAACTAAAGCAGCACAAGGGTCGTGGAGGAGCAACTCCACCTTGCTGCTACAATGTGTACAGCACAAGTGTTGAAGGAACAGCTTCAACATGTTGCGCTAGATATCGCTCTAGAGGCGAATGTAGACTGATAGGGCAGCAAGAGTTCAATCCAGAACTCCTAGGGCACAAGATCTACTCCAAGATCTTAGATAAGAACAACAAGTTCTATTATAGGTAGGGGTACATAGTCTGGGTCCAAAGTAGAGGCGAGACCTCTATTTATAGGGCTTTAGGAAGCCTTCACATACTTCTACTTATAGCTGGAATACTCTAGAAACATTATTTAAGGTTCACCCTTCTACTCATAGCTACTCACAACTAGAAGACTCTAGAAAACAGTAGGTAGGATAAAGAAAAGAAAAGAAATACTAGACCACAACAGAAGTATCTAGAAGTAGCCAAACAGATTTGACATATGATTATATTTTCATGTTCCCCATCTTTTGTTCCTCATCATTCTCCACTGGTTGTTTGGAACTCGCCCTCGAGTTATCTTCATAGAGTGCTTCTTCTAGATGGTAGAGAGTCAAGTTCGCAACATTGAAAGTGTTGGAGATACCCATATCGCTTGGAAGATATATCACATAAGCATTATCATTTATCTTCCTCGCGATAGAGAAGGGCACATACCTTCGTTGCCTAAGTTTCCCTTTAACACCTAAAGGAAGCCTCTCTTTTCGGAGGTAAACCATCACCTTATCACCGACTTGGAATGATTTTGGCCTCTTTTTGCAATCAACAAGTTGTTTATATTTCTGATTTTGTGCTTCCAAAGCGCCGCGAATCTCTTCAAATAACTCGGTGTAATTATCAGGAAAGGACAATGCTGATTTTGAGCTTCCCCTTGATGGCAGCTTCACCAGGTCCACCACATGTGTTGGAACTTTAGTGTAGACAATGGAAAAAGGGCTCCTTCCTGTGGATCAATGCTTGGAGTTATTGTAGGAGAACTCTGCGAGAGATAAAGCCAAATCCCATTGCCCCTTTCTTTCTCCACAAATGCAACTGATCAGATTACCCAAAAACTTGTTCACCACTTCCGTTTGTCTATCTGTTTGTGGATGAGCAGTGCTAGAAAATTTCAATTCAGTGTTGAATTGCTTTCACAAAGTGAGCCAAATTGCAGCAAGGAACTTGCTATCAGGGTCTGAGACAATGGACCTTGGAACTCCATGAAGTCTGACCACTTCTCGAAAGAATAGGTTTGCCACATAATGAGCATCCCTTGTCTTGTGGCATGGGATGAAATGAGCCATCATAGAGAATCTATCCACGACCACAAATACAACATCACTTCCTCGTCTTGTTCTTGGCAAGCCCAAGACAAAGTCCATAGAAATGTCCTCCCATGGAGCAACAGGAACAGGCAAAGGCATGTATAACCCTGTGTTCTGGACTTGGCCTTTGCAGGTCTGACATACGGGGCACCATTGAACGAACTTTCCAGCATCTCTCTTTAGTTGTGGCCAAAAGTAGCGAGCTTCTAGGTTAGCGATAGTCTTGTCCCATCCAACATGGCCACTAAGATCACTTGAATGGAGCTCTCTAACCAGCATGTCACGTAGAGAACTTTGCACAAATGATCATTTTCAAAGAGATGTCCATCTTGCATGAAATAGTCATCACCTAATGGTTGTCCGCTTGCATGC